TGAACCCTGGGCTATATAATGGACCCTGGGCTATATAATGGACCCTGGGCTATATAATGAACCCTGGGCTATATAATGAACCCTGGGCTATATAATGAACCCTGGGCTATATAATGAACCCTGGACTGTATAATGAACCCTGGGCTATATAATGGACCCTGGGCTATATAATGGACCCTGGGCTATATAATGGACCCTGGGCTATATAATGAACCCTGGGCTATATAATGAACCCTGGGCTATATAATGAACCCTGGGCTATATAATGAACCCTGGACTATATAATGAACCCTGGGCTATATAATGGACCCTGGGCTATATAATGGACCCTGGGCTATATAATGAACCCTGGTCTATATAATGAACCCTGGGCTATATAATGAACCCTGGGCTATATAATGAACCCTGGGCTATATTATGGACCCTGGGCTATATAATGGACCCTGGGCTATATAATGGCCTATTGAAATGGAACTGAATTGAGAGGAAACGACATCCCTTGTCTCCAGAGTAAGAGGATACCTCGTTATAGATAATGTGTGTGTGTCTGTGCATGTGACCCCCTGTGTGTGTTTGTGTATGTGATAATTGGATAGCGGCCCTCTCCCCAGAACAACGAGGGTCAAATTAACCCCCTAGAGTAGGTGACATCATCCTTTCCAAACTGGTCTGTCCATCCCTAAAAAAAGCCCTGTCATACCCACCACTGCTTTAGCATTCAAACAAAGAAAGGCTTATTCCTTGTTCCAGGGGCCCTGTCTCAATACATTATACTTATCCACTCACATTCTTAGTTGTTGGAATCCATACTGTATGTTTCCAGTCCACATGGCCAGGAACAGGGTCTGTTGGTATTTTGACATGGATTTACTCAAACAATTACAATCTTACTGTAGTGTTTCACCAGACCAGCAGATACTAGGGATACTAGGGACGTCCCCCCAGACAACTGTGACTGTGTGTTTGACAGGTGGATTTCCCTGAGTGAGCATCAGGTGTGGGAGTGGATGAGAAAAACTTCACTGGATTAAGACCCAGCCTGTGCGTGTAATCCTCTCCCCTGTTCCTCTATACAAGAGGAGAAGTATAAAATGGATGAGAGTGCAACTTCAGTGGATTGAGAGCCCTCTCCCTTGCCCATGTACATCAACACAGATTACAGAGCACTCAGAGCAGCCAGAGGCCTCTCTCTCTCTCCCCCAGGTCTCCACTCAGGTCTCCTCTCCTCTCTGGATTCCCCCAGCACAGCAGCTCAGGCAGGCAGGGTATTGATCCAGCCTCAGCTCCATGTGTGTCTTGTCCCTACATTGAGGAGCTGAGTTCTCCCTGTAGGGTTGTTGACCTGTATAATTTCTCTGTGGTCACCCGGTTTGTTCCAACTCTTTGTCACTGTCTGTCGTCACACACATATACACACACACACACACACACACACACACACACACACACACACACACACACAGATACACACACACACACACACTATCTGTAAGTAACTGTAGTCCCACAGAGGGAGAGATGGAAGAGGAGATCCACTCATCCGCTCTAAATGAGCACCAGATCGATAGGAAAGCCCTTGATCCTGCACTCATTCCTCTGTCCCTGGACATCACACACAGAGAAAGACGGGAAAGCGAAAGAGCTGGGGAGGGGGGCACACACACTCTCACTCTCACTCTGTAGAATAGACTAGAGATAGGCTTATGATTAGTTATAGATTTTCTGATCATCACCATTGAGAGCTGTGGACTTATATCAAACAGAGCGTTTTCTATTAAAGAGGAACTGGCCAATAGACATGTGATCAAGAAATAGTTAACTGGGAACTTCATTGGCAACAGAACATGATAGTGCAATTATTTCTGGGTAGCTTGCGAAAATAATTTAGACGAATACACTGAAACGGTGACTGAGTTTATCAGGAAGTGTATAGGAGATGTTGTACCCACTGTGACTATTAAAACCTACCCTAACCAGAAACCGTGGATAGACGGCAGCATTCGCGCAAAACTGAAAGCGCGAACCACCGCATTTAACCATGGCAAGGTGACTGGGAATATGGCAGAATACAAACAGTGTAGCTACTCACTCCGCAAGGCAATTAAACTGGCAAAACATCAGTAAAGAGACAAAGTGGAGTCGCAACTCAAACGCTCAGACACGAGACATATGTGGCAGGGTCTACAGACAATCACGGACTACAAAAGGAAAAGCAGCCACGTCGCCGACGTCTCCCTTCCAGACAAGATAAACACCTTCTTCACCCGCTTTGAGAATAACACAGTGCCACCAACGCGGCCCACTACCAAAGACTGTGGACTCTCCTTCTCCGTGGCCGACGTGAATAAGACATTTAAGCATGTTAACCCCGCAAGGCTGCCGGCCCAGATGGCATCCCTAGCCACGTCCTCAGAGCATGCGCATGCACAGACCAGCTGGCTGGTGTGTTTACGGACATATTCAATCTCTCCTTATCCCAGTCTGCTGTCCCCACATGCTTCAAGATGGCCACCATTGTTCCTGTACCCAAGAAAGCAAAGGTAATTGAACTAAATGACTATCGCCCCGTAGCACTCACCTCTGTCATCATGAAGTGCTTTGAGAGACTAATCAAGGATCATAACACCTCTACCTTACCTGTCACCCTAGACCCACTTCAATTTGCTTATCGCCCCAATAGATCCACAGACGATGCAATCGCCATCACACTGCACACTGCCCTATCCCATCTGGACAAGAGGAATACCTATGTAAGAATAATGTTAATTGACTATAGCTCAACATTCAACACCATAGTACCCTCCAAGCCCATCATTAAGCTTGAGGCCCTGGATCTGAACCCCACACTGTGCAACTGGGTCCTGATCTTCCTGACGGGCCGCCCCCAGGTGGTGAAGGTAGGAAACAACATCTACACTTCACTGATCCTCAACACTGGGGCCCCACAAGGGTGCGTGCTCAGCCCCCTCCTGTACTCCCTGTTCACCCATGACTGCGTGGCCAAGCACGCCTCCAACTCAATCATCAAGTTTGCAGACGACACAACAGTAGTAGGCTTGATTACCAACAATGACGAGACAGCCTACAGGGAGGAGGTGAGGGCTCTGGGAGTGTGGTGCCAGGAAAATAACCTGTCACTCAACGTCAACAAAACAAACGAGATGATCGTGGACTTCAGCAGAGGGTGCACCCCCCTATCCACATCGACAGGACCGCAGTGGAGAAGGTGGAAAGCTTCAAGTTCCTTGGCGTACACATCACTGACAAACTGAAATGGTCCACCCACGCAGACAGTGTGGTGAAGAAGGCGCAACAGAGCCTCTTCAACCTCAGGAGGCTGAAGAAATGTGTCTTGGCACCTAAAACCCTCACAAACTTTTACAGATGCACAATTGAGAGCATCCTGTCGGGCTGTATCACCGCCTGGTACGGCAACTGCACCGCCCGCAACCGCAGGGCTCTCCAGAGGGTGGTGCAGCCTGCCGAAAGCATTACCGGGGGCAAACTACCCGCCCTCCAGGACACCTACAGTACCCGATGTCACAGGAAGGCCAAAAATATCATCAAGGACATCAACCACCCGAGCCACTGCCTGTTCACCCCGCTATCATCCAGAAGGCGAGTTCAGTACAGGTGCATCAAAGCTGGGACCGAGAGAATGAAAAACTGCTTCTATCTCAAGGCCATCAGACTGTTAAATAGCCATCACTAGCACATTAGAGGCTGCTGCTGCCTATTGAAATCACTGGCCACTTTAAGAAATGGAACACTAGTCACTTTAATAATGTTTACATATCTTGCATTACTCATCTCATTGTATATACTGTATTCTATAATATTCTACTGTATCTTAGTCCATGCCGCTCTGTCATTGCTTGTCCATGTATGTATATATTCTTAATTCCATTCCTTACTTAGATGTGTGTATTGGGTATATGTTATGAAATTGTTAGATATTACTTGTTAGATATTACTGCACTGTCGGCGATAGAAGCACAAGCATTTCGCTACACCCGAAATAACATCTGCTAAACACGTGTATGTGACAAATAAAATGTGATTTGATTTGATTTGTGTTTTTCTTATTGTAGATTCTGACATCTAGCGGTTGGTTTCGTGTACTGCAGCTTTACGGGTTTATATTTTCCCGCTAAAAAATAAACTTTTGACAGGAGACCCTTAACGTGACCTACTTTGGATAGATACAATGTTTCAATCAAATGGTGAGAAATATATACAATGTAACGCCTCGATATCAAAGGTTCTGACCATTTAATACAACGGAGACAGCAGGATGACTATTTATGTTCCTATCAGTAGCCTTATTTGAGCATGAAAGCTGTCAACTTTAGTCATCTTTAACAATTAAAATGATATTGGCCGGCCAGATAATCTTCCTTATGGTACATCTATTTACATACACCCCCCCCCCCCCCGCCCCCCCCCTGGATCAGAATTGACGGGAAAGAAACCCAGAAGAGCCATGCAGCCAGGCATTTTGTTTCAATAAAAAAGCGGACTAGAGGTATGTAAATCATTGGCCCAAACTGAAAGCGGGATAATATACTCCTCCCACTGAGCTGTTCGTGCGCACTTGTGGTATGGTATCATATTTTAGCCTAAACTCAAATTTAGAGTTTAATTTGGTAAACTAGCCAATGTTACAACTACTAAACCTATGCCTACTATGGGAGAGTGTATTTGTTTTGAGAGCTCTGTTTTTGGCGAAATGACTTTATGCGTAAAATGAAAATTCATCTATTGAAAAAAAAAAAAAATCATAATGCGTACAAAAACATGCGTAAAGCATAACAATGCCAAAGTGAACCACGAGAGCTGCGTTGAGTCTTACATCGTCCTATTTGATGTAAAGTCAAGGTATCATTTTAAAAGGAGATTATTGCTGACAGAGAGACAGGCAGGTGCTATCACCGAACATCACGACCGTGAAGCAAAAACGACCAAATCAAAACCTAAAGTGAAAGTTCCTCAAAGGGCACATGATGGTGGCGAAGATGGCGAGCTGTGGGGCCGCTTGTCACCTGGATGAAGGGTAAGCATTATAAATACATAGCCAAATAATGCCCAGGTTTAGAGTCTTGCACGTAGCCTAAATACACGAGGTTGCATTCAGACTGACAAAGATGCGAGCGGCAATGTTCTGTATAATCCGGAAAGAGCTGTTTCTTTGTTGTTGTTGCTTGCTACCCTTAGTTGTCAATTTAGTTCTCGATTTATAAAAAAAAACACTTAAGACCCAAAATAGTTACAACCATGTAATTTTCTTTAATTGAAAACAGACCCCAAAAGTGAAAGGAGGGGACGCCATGTTCGCTTTGTAGCGCACAAGATGCTGTGTTGTTGACTGATCATAACACAAGCATGCCCATCGCCCAAGCAATATGGCTATACCGCGAGTTACAACTATAGAACGATGTTATTCTGTAGGCCAACCCAAAGCAACAATAATGTTTGGTTTCTCAATAAAAGCGTCTCTTTTAACTTGAAAACAAAAGCACTTGCATGTATTCGACCTACACCACTGCATTTTGTACTGCCATAGTTAGGCTACTTTGTCTTTTTATTTATTTATTTATTTATTTATTTCACCTTTATTTAACCAGGTAAACCAGTTGAGAACAAGTTCTCATTTACAACTGCGACCTGGCCAAGATAAAGCAAAGCAGTGCGATAAAAAATAACAACACAGAGTTACATGTGGGGTAAACAAAACAAAGTCAAAAATACAACAGAAAATATATATACAGTGTGTGCAAATGTAGCAAGTTATGGAGGTAAATAGGCCATATTGCAAAATAATTACAATTAGTATTAACACTGGAATGATAGATGTGCAAGAGATTATGTGCAAATAGAGATACTGGGGTGCAAATGAGCAAAATAAATAACAATATGGGGGTGAAGTAGTTGGGTGGGCTAATTTCAGATGGGCTGTGTACAGGTGCAGTGATCGGTAAGGTGCTCTGACAACTGATGCTTAAAGTTAGTGAGGGAGATAAGAGTCTCCAGCTTCAGATATTTTTGCAGTTCGTTCCAGTCATTGGCAGCAGAGAACTGGAAGGAATGGCGGCCAAAGGAGGTGTTGGCTTTGGGGATGACCAGTGAGATATACCTGCTGGAGCGCATACTAGGGGTGAGTGTTGCTATGGTGACCAATGAGCTAAGATAAGGCGGGGATTTGCCTAGCAGTGATTTATAGATGACCTGGAGCCAGTGGGTTTGGCGACGCATATGTAGTGAGGACCAGCCAACAAGAGCGTACAGGTCACAGTGGTGGGTAGTATATGGGGCTTTGGTGACAAAACGGATGGCACTGTGGTAGACTACATCCAATTTGCTGAGTAGAGTGTTGGAGGCTATTTTGTAAATTACATCGCCGAAATCAAGGATCGGTAGGATTGTCAGTTTAATGAGGGCATGTCTGGCAGCATGAGTGAAGGATGCTTTGTTGCGAAATAGGAAGCCGATTCTAGATTTAACTTTGGATTGGAGATGCTTCATGTGAGTCTGGAAGGATAGTTTACAGTCTAACCAGACACCTAGGTATTTGTAGTTGTCCACATACTCTAGGTCAGACCCGCCGAGAGTAGTGATTCTGGTCGGGTGGGCGGGTGCCAGCAGCGTTCGATTGAAGAGCATGCATTTAGTTTTACTAGTGTTTAAGAGCAGTTGGAGGCTACGGAAGGAGTGTTGTATGGCATTGAAGCTCATTTGGAGGTTTGTTAACACAGTGTCCAATGAAGGGCCAGATGTATACAAAATGGTGTCGTCTGCGTAGAGGTGGATCTGAGAGTCACCAGCAGCAAGATCGACATGTCTCAAGTTACATTGTTTCAGCTGTTTAAAAGCGTGCAAACCAGGTCGTTCTTCATTAGACACCTGCCATGTGAAAGTGCTTGAATATTGTAAAGGGAAACTAGCTTTGTTGTTAAATGTATAGGAGCATCTATGTACCAAAAGGTTGCTATAGAATAATGTTGAATCCCAATGACTATTGGGACTTTTTCCAGTGAAGCTTGATAGTCAAGGCCTTTTTTTTTTTTTTACCAATATGACTTCTGTAACCACAATGTTACTACAATCTTGGTAATGTTTTATACCGTAAAATGTAGTTGTATAAATGCAGAAAACGTTCTACATTGTCTCCTTTGTGTAGTAAATAATGAATCATGTTTGTGTGGTGAGTAACCATGAACCCCAGGGCAGTTAAAGGTGAGAGATGTGAAACTGGTGACTTATATCTACTTTGTGCATGACACAAGTAATTTTTCCAACAATTGTTTACAGACAGATTATTTCACTTATAATTCACTGTATCACAATTCCTTTGGGTCAGAAGTTTACATACACTAAGTTGACTGTGCCTTTAAACAGCTTGAAAAATTCCAGAAAATGATGTCATGGCTTTAGAAGCTTCTGATAGGCTAATTGACATCATTTGAGTCAATTGGAGGTATACCTGTGGATGTATTTCAAGGCCTACCTTCAAACTCAGTGCCTCTTTGCTTGACATCATGGGAAAATCTAAAGAAATCAGCCAAGACCTCAGAAAAAAATTGTAGACCTCCACAAGTGTAGTTCATCCTTGGGAGCAATTTCCAAATGCCTGAAGGTACCACGTTCATCTGTACAAACAATAATATGCAAGTATAAACACTATGGGACCACGCAGCCGTCATACCGCTCAGGAAGGAGACACGCTCTGTCTCCTAGAGATGAACGTACTTTGGAGCGAAAAGTGCAAATCAATCCCAGAACAACAGCAAAGGACCTTGTGAAGATGCTGGAGAAAACAGGTACAAAGTATCTATATCCACAATAAAAGGTGTCCTATATCGTCATAACCTGAAAGGCCGCTCAGCAAGGAAGAAGCCACTGCTCCAAAACCGCCATAAAAAAGCCAGACTACGGTTTGCAACTGCACATGGGGACAAAGATCGTACTTTTTGGAGAAATGTCCTCTGGTCTGATGAAACAAAAATAGAACTGTTTGGCCATAATGACCATCATTATGTTTGGAGGAAAAAGGGGGTAGCTTGCAAGCCAAAGAACACCATCCCAACCGTGAAGCACGGGGGTGGCAGCATCATGCTGTGGGGGTGCTTTGCTGCAGGAGGGACTGGTGCACTTCACAAAGTAGATGGCATCACGAGGAAGGAAAATTATGTGGATTTTTCTGTCAGGAAGTTAAAGCTTGGTCGCAAATGGGTCTTGACCCATTGACCCCAAGCATACTTCCAAAGTTGTGGCAAAATGGCTTAAGGACAACAAAGTCAAGGTGTTGGAGTGGCCATCACAAAGCCCTGACCTCAATCCTATAGAACATTTGTGGGCAGAACTGAAAAAGCGTGTTTGAGCAAGGAGGCCTACAAACCTGACTCAGTTACACCAGCTCTGTCAGGAGGAATGGGGTAAAAGTCACCCAACTTATTGTGGGAAGCTTGTGGAAGGCTACGCGAAACATTTGACCCAAGTTAAACAATTTAAAGCAATGCTACCAAATACTAATTGAGTGTATGTAAACTTCTGACCCACTGGGAATGTGATGAAATAAATAAAAGCTGAAATAAATCATTCTCTCTACTATTATTCTGACATTTCACATTCTTAAAATAAAGTGGTGATCCTAACTGACCTAAGACAGGGAATCTTTACTAGGATTAAATGTCAGGAATTGTGAAAAACTGAGTTTAAATGTATTTGGCTAAGGTGTATGTAAACTTCCGACTTCAACTGTAGATATTCAATTATACTGAACAAAAATATAAACGCAACATGTAAAGTGTTGGTCGCATGCTTCATGAGCTGAAATAAAAGTTCCCAGAACATTTTCATTCACACAAAAAGCTTATTTCTCTCAACTTTTGTGCACAAATATGTTTACATCCCTGTTAGTGAGCATTTCTCCTTTGCCAAGATCCACCGGACAGGTGTGGCATATCAAGAAGATGATTAAACAGCATGATCATTACACAGGTGCACCTTGTCCTGGGGACAATAAAAGGCCACTCTAAAATGTGCAGTTTTGTCACACAACACAATGCCACATATGTCTCAAGTTTTGAGGGAGCGTGCAATTGGCATGCTGACTGCAGGAATGTCCACCAGAGCTGTTGCCAGAGAATTGAATGTTAATTTCTCTACCATAAGCCGCTCAACCGGCCTCACAACCGCAGACCACGTGTTACCACGCCAGCCCAGGAGCACTACATCTGGCTTCTTCACCTGCAGGATTTTCTGAGACCAGCCACACGGACAGCTGATGAAACTGAGGAGTATTTATGTCTGTAATAAAGCCCTTTTGTGGGGAAAAACTCATTCTGATTGGCTGGGCCTGGCTCCCCAGTGGGTGGGCCTTGCTCCCAAGTGGGTGGGCCTATGCCCAGTTATGTGAAATCCATAGATTAGGGCCTAATTTATTTAAATTGACTGATTTCCTTATATGAACTGTAACTCAGTAAAATTGTTGAAATTGTTGCATGTTGCGTTTATAGTTTTGTTCAGTATACATAAAAATACAATGCACAATACCTGCAGAATATATGAACCCTCATATATTCTGAGGGGTCATATATTCTATAACTTATTGACAGTTTAGTGTATCATTAATGCTGTTGTGACTGATGGTGTGTGATATGTTAACCTACTGAGGTACACAAGGCTAAATTGGAGCTGTGACATAAACTATAACACTAGCACTAACTGACTATTGCCTATCTCTTGTTCACAGGCTTTCAGTGTGTTTATATAAGGCTGTAGGAAACATGCAAAAACTGTGGCCTTATCGCACCACAGAGACACATACAGAGAGAAGAAATAGTGAGAGAGAGAAGAAAGGAAGGGGATGGTTGTTTTGTATGAAAATGAGTGGGAGAGAAGTAAGAGATGGTGAGAGGCCAGGGTTGAAGAGAGGGCAAAGAGAAATAAAGAGAAATAGAGGGTAGGAAAATAATAGACAGAGAGATGGATAGAGGCAGAAAGAGGGCAGAGTACATGTGTGAATATGATTGCCATGGAAACCTATAACAGTTGTGTTGTGATACAGAAACCTGTTGGCTGTGTGTACTTTCCTGTACTTCTGTCTGAGGACAATGAGGATGAGGACCACTGGCTTATCAGGTTTCATTCAATCTAAAAGAGAGACAATATTCTAATGATGTCACTACACAGTACTAGAAATAGCCTATGAATTTTGGTCACAATTCAATCATTGTTTTAGGACCTTATCTGCAGGTACAGTGAGTGAAAAAAGTATTTGATCCCCTGCTGATTTTGTACGTTTGCCCACTGACAAAGAAATTATCAGTCTATAATTTTAATGGTAGGTTTATTTGAACAGTGAGAGACAGAATAACAACAAAAAAATCCAGAAAAACGCATGTCAAAAATGTTATGAATTGATTTGCATTTTAATGAGGGAAATAAGTATTTGACCCCTCTGCAAAACATGACATAGTACTTGGTGGCAAAACCCTTGTTGGCAATCACAGAGGTCAGACGTTTCTTGTAGTTGGCCACCAGGTTTGCACACATCTCAGGAGGGATTTTGTCCCACTCCTCTTTGCAGATCTTCTCCAAGTCATTACGGTTTCGAGGCTGACGTTTGGCAACTCAAACCTTCAGCTCCCTCCACAGATTTTCTATGGGATTAAGGTCTGGAGACTGGCTAGGCCACTCCAGGACCTTAATGTGCTTCTTCTTGAGCCACTCCTTTGTTGCCTTGGCCGTGTGTTTTGGGTCATTGTCATGCTGGAATACCCATCCACGACCCATTTTCAATGCCCTGGCTGAGGGAAGGAGGTTCTCACCCAAGATTTGACGATACATGGCCCCGTCCATCGTCCCTTTGATGCGGTGAAGTTGACCTGTCCCCTTAGCAGAAAAACACCCCCAAAGGTAATGTTTCCACCTCCATGTTTGATGGTGGGGATGGTGTTCTTGGGGTCATAGGCAGCATTCCTCCTCCTCCAAACACGGCGAGTTGAGTTGATGCCAAAGAGCTAAATTTTTGTCCCATCTGACCACAACACTTTCACCCAGTTCTCCTCTGAATCATTCAGATGTTCATTGGCAAACTTCAGATGGGCATGTACAGTGGGGAGAACAAGTATTTGATACACTGCCAATTTTGCAGGTTTTCCTACTTACAAAGCATGTAGAGGTCTGTAATTGTTATCATAGGTACACTTCAACTGTGAGAGACGGAATCTAAAACAAGAATCCAGAAAATCACATTGTATGATTTTTAACATTTACATTTACATTTTAGTCATTTAGCAGACGCTCTTATCCAGAGCGACTTACAGTTAGTGAGTGCATACATTATTATTAATTTTTTTTCATACTGGCCCCCCGTGGGAAACAAACCCACAACCCTGGCGTTGCAAACGCCATGCTCTACCAACTGAGCTACATCCATGCCGGCCATTCCCTCCCCTACCCTGGACGACGCTAGGCCAATTGTGCGCCGCCCCATGGGTCTCCCGGTCGCGGCCAGCTACGACAGAGTAATTCATTTGCATTTTATTGCGTGACATAAGTATTTGATCACCTACCAACCAGTAAGAATTCCGGCTCTCACAGACCTGTTAGTTTTTCTTTAAGAAGCCCTCCTGTTCTCCACTCATTACCTGTATTAACTGCACCTGTTTGAACTCGTTACCTGTATAAAAGACACCTGTCCACACACTCAATCAAACAGACTCCAACCTCTCCAAAATGGCCAAGACCAGAGAGCTGTGTAAGGACATCAGGGATAAAATTGTAGACCTGCACAAGGCTGGGATGGGCTACAGGACAATAGGCAAGCAGCTTGGTGAGCAGGCAACAACTGTTGGCGCAATTATTAGAAAATGGAAGAAGTTCAAGATGACGGTCAATCACCCTCGGTCTGGGGCTCCATGCAAGATCTCACCTCGTGGGGCATCAATGATCATGAGGAAGGTGAGGGATCAGCCCAGAACTACACGGCAGGACCTGGTCAATGACCTGAAGAGAGCTGGGACCACAGTCTCAAAGAAAACCATTAGTAACACACTACGCCGTCATGGATTAAAATCCTGCAGCGCACGCAAGGTCCCACTGCTCAAGCCAGCGCATGTCCAGGCTCGTCTGAAGTTTGCCAATGACCATCTGGATGATCCAGAGGAGGAATGGGAGAAGGTAATGTGGTCTGATGAGACAAAAATAGAGCTTTTTGGTCTAAACTCCACTCACTGTGTTTGGAGGAAGAAGGATGAGTACAACCCCAAGAACACCATCCCAACCGTGAAGCATGGAGGTGGAAACATCATTCTTTGGGGATGCTTTTCTGCAAAGGGGACAGGACGACTGCACCGTATTGAGGGGAGGATGGAATGGGGCCATGTATCGCGAGATCTTGGCCAACAACCTCCTTCCCTCAGTAAGAGCATTGAAGATGGGTTGTGGCTGGGTCTTCCAGCATGACAACCCGAAACACACAGCCAGGGCAACTAAGGAGTGGCTCCGTAAGAAGCATCTCAAGGTCCTGGAGTGGCCTAGCCAGTCTCCAGACCTGAACCCAATAGAACATCTTTGGAGGGAGCTGAAAGTCCGTATTGCCCAGCGACAGCCCCGAAACCTGAAGGATCTGGAGAAGGTCTGTATGGAGGAGTGGGCCAAAATCCCTGCTGCAGTGTGTGCAAACCTGGTCAAGACCTACAGGAAACGTATGATCTCTGTAATTGCAAACAAAGGTTTCTGTACCAAATATTAAGTTCTGCTTTTCTGATGTATCAAATACTTATGTCATGCAATAAAATGCAAATTATTACTTAAAAATCATACAATGTGATTCCGTCTCTCACAGTTGAAGTGTACCTATGATCAAAATTACAGACCTCTACATGCTTTCTAAGTAGGAAAACCTGCAAAATCGGCAGTGTATCAAATACTTGTTCTCCCCACTGTATATGTGCTTTCTTGAGCAGGGGGTCCTTGCGGGCGCTGCAGGATTTCAGTCCTTCACGGCGTAGTGTGTTACCAATTGTTTTCTTGGTGACTATGGTCCCAGCTGCCTTGAGATCATTGACAAGATCCTCCCGTGTAGTTCTGGGCTGATTCCTCACCGTTCTCATGATCATTGCAACTCCACGAGGTGAGATCTTGCATGGAGCCCCAGGCCGAGGGAGATTGACAGTTCTTTTGTGTTTCTTCCATTTGCGAATAATCGCACCTACTGTTGTCACCTTCACCAAGCTGCTTGGCGATGGTCTTGTAGCCCATTCCAGCCTTGTGTAGGTCTACAATCTTGTCCCTGACATCCTTGGAGAGCTCTTTGGTCTTGGCCATGGTGGAGAGTTTGGAATCTGATTGATTGATTGCTTCTGTGGACAGGTGTCTTTTATACAGGTAACAAGCTGAGATTAGGAGCACTCCCTTTAAGAGTGTGCTCCTAATCTCAGCTCGTTACCTGTATAAAAGACACCTGGGAGCCAGAAATCTTTCTGATTGAGAGGGGGTCAAATACTTATTTCCCTCATTAAAATGCAAATCAATTCATAACATTTTTGACATGCGTTTTTCTGGATTTTGTTGTTGTTATTCTGTCTCTCACTGTTCAAATAAACCTACCATTAAAATTATAGACTGATAATTTCTTTGTCAGTGGGCAAACGTACAAAATCAGCAGGGGATCAAATACTTTTTTCCCTCACTGTATCATGCCCAGTTATCATGATTAATTACATTCTTATTATCAAAGAGGTTATAAACACATGGTAACTTAGTAAAGTGTTTCTATGTATTCCTCATCTCCTCTGTGGTAAGGCATTAAAGACTACACTTGAGTCAACTCTGGTTTTGATCACCTAACGCTCAGTATTTTTATGATGGTGTAAAATAAAAAAATAAAAAAATATTTTTGACCTAGTTCCCTGCACATGCTGAACGTGTTCTTCTTGTGAGGTTGGCACCATGACGAATGCACTTTCTATTATCGCTAGCTCTACACTGAGTCCCTAGGCGGCAGGCGCCCATAGACGTGTTCAAACAAGTCACAGACTGAATCAACAAGCGATACGCTTTGTCTGCGTCTGAGAGACAACCTCAGGATGATACACATTATTATGGGTTATATAAACCTGTAACACTGCTGACTGCAAAACTCTTCCCTTTGTGTCTTGATCTTAGATCAACTTTTGGTGTTCTCTGATACTGTCTCTTTAAGAACTTACGCTTTAGAATCACAAGCACTATTATCGGGCAGTACCTTTCCATGGCTTTGCAGTACCAGCCGTCCAACAATAGTGTGTAAAACTGGGTCAGGATGTAGGTGGTGGGGGTTCCACACCACACTGGAGGATGGGCTGGTGTCATGAACGTGAGATGTTTGCAGCTTCTCCACTTCCTGTATTTGTGCCTCAGTTGAAGAGCGTGTGTACATCAGAGAGAGGACGTGCAGACACAGATGGGTCTGCAGCTGGACAGTTCAGCTCCACCCCCTCTCCTCCACACCCATAATCCCCTCCCCCACTGGCCCATAAACTGAAGTTGTATTCTCTTAACTCCATTTTGATAACGTCTTGGGATGCCCTTATAATTTCCTTTCTCTTTTAACCTACAGAGATGGAGACATCCCTGCTCCTGACCAGAAGGGTGAGGACCGTTCACTCTTTGTTTGTTTGTGCATGACATGTTTTGTTTTGTCTCATGTAGCAAAAAGTCCTGAATGAATGTGATCTGAAATTAGACCAGCAGATGGCAGTCATCACCTGTAAAAATATCTGTGTGTGTGTGTGTATATTGGGCTGATAAAGCAGGCTGTCTGAGAGTAAACGGAGTGGATGTTAGATGAGGCAGAGAGCGATAGGAGGCATATGAGGACACAGATGGAGAGATGTGGGGGAAAGAGATGATGGGAGAGGGAGGGAGAGAGAGCAAGAGATGGAGGGAGAATGGCGCAGTGGTCTAAGTGCTAGCTGTGCCACTAGAGATCCTGGTTCGAATCCAGGCCCTGTCGTAGCCGGCCGCGACTGGGAGATCCATGGGGCGGCGCACAATTGGCCCAGTGTCGTCCAGGGTAGGGGAGGGAATGGCCGGCAGGGATGTTAGTAGAGCATGGTGTTTGCAATGCCAGGGTTGTGGGTTCAATTCCCACGGGGGGCCAGTATGAAAAAAATAAAAATAATAATTTATGCACTAACTGTAAGTTGCTCTGGATGAGAGTGTCTGCTAAATGAGTAAAAATGTAAAAAAAAGAATGAGCTAGAGGGATGGATGTAGAGCAGAGAGAGAGACCTGGGCTGGTTCTCAGTCTGAGATGAGGCTCCCTGCCCCAGAGATGACAGGCTCCATCTATTAGCTTCCTCTCTGCCATGGCTGTACACCAGGGCACCAGTTCACTTCACTCTGGCCAGAGTCTCACTTTAGATTAGGTCAGGCATAATCATGTAACCGACAATTATTGACAATAACCATGAAAAAATAATTATCATAATCTTCTTAATACATTCATTTTAAGAGGGGGGATTCAATTTTATTTTCAAGTAGATATAGTTTACCCAGTAGCAGTTTTTTCATTTATACATGAAAAGGGTAAAGTTGGTAATCATTTTACAATGATTTGGGAGGAGAAGCTTCATTTCCAAAAGTAGTCAAAACAATTAGCTTTTGAGAAATGGTTTCACCAAAGCTTTGTTGTATTCAATAGGTATCTCATAGCTTATTTTCAAAGATGCATTAGAAAATCAAAAAAAGATACTAAAATGACAATTATAACTGTGACCATTTGCATGGCAATGAATCGTTACCCATAATCGTCACAGCCCTACTTTAGATGCACTTACAGTATGAAGCATACAGTTTTATAAGTCATTCTGGATTTCTGAATTAGAGTATCTGCTTCTGTAAATTACTAAAATGTAAGTGCAAACAGTTACAGCTCTGACACAGGGGCCCTCAGCACTATACATAGGAAAACCACAGACATATCACATAATTACAATATGCTCATATACATACTGTATACAGTGTGCATTCATCTACATTAGTGAGGAATCAGAGTGGAAGTTTCAGATGAGCAATGTGGTGTGATGTGAGTGAAGAGGGTATACACTGATGAGCTCATCATTAGTCACAGTTTGCCAACAGAAGTGCAAAATTGAGATAATGCTGAGTCAGACAGTAAATAAAAGGCTCCAAATTGATAACAGTAATAGGCCTATGTTAGGGTAGACATGATTAGAGACTCTCAGATCGCCTTTCTAGGTGTTATCAGAACACTCTCAGGGGATGGGCTGGTGTTGTTTGGGGATGGTCCCACAGAGGGCCAGTCCACTGGGGTTACTGTAAACCTCTCTGCATTATGGGTAAAGTGGAGTGGAAAGATTGAGAGAGGAGAGTTCCTAATCCCATATAAACCCCTTACCCAAGACACCTCTAATAAAAGTTCTGTTGTTCCAGGTAATCTGACTGAAAGTGATAACAGTGGCTCAGGTAGGCACACCTTTGCAGTATGTTTGTATTTTTCTCGTATAGAAATCCTTATAGAGTGAGATTTCATTCAAAGACAAGCCCCCCTCCCGTCCTCTCTGTGAACACTACTCAAACAGAACTCTAATGGTCTCTGAGCTGCATGTAGGCCTATAGACCCCCTCTCAAGTCATGTTTGAACTACCAATCCATTTCCCTCACCCCTCTCTATTTGAAAGTACACTTAGAATGAGAAACGTTTTCAAAGTTCATCCCTCCATGTCTTATGGATTTTTCCGACAGACAATGCAGGGACATCTACAGAGGAAAGTTCTGAAGAAGAGGAGGATGAAGAGGAGGAGGAGGAAGACATCTCTGCTGAGAAAGAAGGAGGTGAGAAAATCACAGCCTCATTTTTTCAGCTTCATCAAAATAATTTCCAAACGGTGATGATACACGTTCACACCAGCACCTGGGTTGTGTCTTTGGATCTTTTTTTAGAAATAATTGTATTCTTTTTTTGTTTGTCCCAACAGAATCAGAGGAGCCTGACGTTGAGGGTTCCAGTAATGGTGAGTGGGAACTAAAACATCAGACACAATGCCTTAGAGTATATCTGCCTTATCATGCCTCTTGGAATGACCTGAGTAGAATTACTGCTCCTCTCCCCCAACTTCCTTCATGAGGAGTAACTTCTCTCTCCACAGAATCAGAGTCGGCTCCTCAACCTGATGCAGAGGTTTCCCTTGCTAAAGGTATCCTCAGTTTGACAAAAGTCATTCTACTATCAAATGTTTAGCTTTTTCCACAAAAGGCCTAGCTATCCTAGATAAAGGATATCGTAATGGTTGAAGGCTAGAGAGAGGATATCTGGGTGCATTCATAGGTTTATGAAAATGTGTCTGCAAATCATAGTCTGCGAGGTAGAGTATTCCTCAACAGGGAGTGCCTAGTTTGACTTTTGACCTCACCTTTGTCAGATGTGCCCCCCAAGCCATGCTGTGAAAAATGCAAGGCTGTCCAGCAGGTAAGTACATTTGTTTGATTGTGGAATTGAATGATAGTTGCGTAATTAAATCTCAGAGATGTACAGAATGGCTGTAGACTCACTAGAGGAACAGGGGCTAATCTTAGTACCATGTCTGTTTGTCTGTCAGAGTCAAGGCAATGAACTGGTTACTCCCAGGAAGATCTCTAAAGGACGCCTACAGTGAGTGTACCTCTTCTACCTGTAGCCTCGTTCCTTCTCTTTCTCACTCAGCTTCTCCTTCTCTCTCCCTCTTTTTTCTCCATCTCTAAATCTCTTACTCACTTAGTATCTACCTCTTTTTTTTAATAAAAAAGAAAATCCCCAAACCACTAAACCTCTCCTGCTGAGTGTCTGTCTGACTGGTATGAGTCTGTCCATCTCTCTGGTTCTGTGTGTCAGGGTGCAGCTGGAGGGAGAGGGGACATATGAGTGCTCTGTCACCGGCCTGGTGTTTGAGGTGTCAGAGAGAGTCCTGATCTGCTACTCGGTCCTGTCCTGGTCCAAGTTCGGCATGTTCCTCAGGGACTCCTGGTGGTTCGCTGGGCCCATCTTCAACGTGGACTGTGTCAACAGCCCCTCATCCATCCTCACCTCCATCCAGTTCCCTCACTCCCTCTGCCTCGCTGATCCCGACAGTGAAATGACCTTCAGTGTCCTGCATATGAAGGACAGCTGTCCGGTGATCGAGCCCTCGGTAGACCACTCTTGCAGCCATGTAAAGTGGCGTGTATCGTCCCTGTCCCCGGTGGGGCCCATTGTCCAGAGCAGCAAGCCTGTAGAGCACCATGGGGTGGTCCTGGTGTATAAAGAACTGGCTCTGAACAACTCCTACTCCTTTCGCATCTACCTGGCCACCAACAACTCCTCCGACATTAAGGTGAGAGGGACACAGAGTGTGTGTGTGGATCATTACTGTAACATGTTACTGAGTCAGAGCAAAGAGGTGAACGTGATCAGAGGGATTGTAATGCCCATTGGCCCGACTTCCTGGCACTCTGTGCCTCTCACACTGTGGTCTCTACTGAGGGAAATCACATCACACTGGAGGTCTGCGGTCTGTTTGTGTGTGTGTGTGTGTGTGTGTGTGTGTCTGTGTGTGTGTGTGTGTGTGTGGTGATCAAGATGAGTTCATTTGTCACTGTATCAAAGGGCATTGGTGCGTATTAATAAACACAAATGATTGTGTATTGAGTTGTGTATCTGTATCTAGGAACAACTCAGATGGAAACCCCAAACCTCATACATTAGATCTGAAACTAGCCCAGTGGGCAACACTGGTTAAAATGACAATGTTTTGCCAACTGATAGGCTTAGATTGGGATAGTAACACCATGTGATATCAAATATAGACCACAGTGAATATCTACTCTGTGATATTACACCGTCTCTTAGGTCATGTCACCCAGTTCCTGAAATGTGGTTTGATTGCTGGTAATGTGTAGTATCAGTGGCATGTGTATTAGTGTGATAGTAGTATATGTGGTGAGGGGAATGGCTGAGTGACTGAATAACTGAGCTCAGCAGAGACACATATTTACATTTACATTTTAGTCATTTAGCAGACGCTCTTATCCAGAGCGACATTCTTTTATTTTTATTTTTATTTTTTATACTTGCCCCCCGTGGGAATCAAACCCACAACCCTGGCATTGCAAACGCCATGCTCTATCAACTGAGCTACACCCCTGCCGGCCATTCCCTCCCCTACCCTGGACGACGCTGGGCCAATTGTGCGCCACCCATGAGTCTCCCGGTCGCGGCCGGCTGCGACAGAGCCTGGATTCGAACCAGGATCTCTAGTGGCACAGTTAGCACTAGAGAGCACACATCAGAGCACTCAGCTTCAGAACAGTCCATTTAACCCTACCTAACTGGCCAGGGAAAGGAGTTGTTGACCGTGGAAAACATCTCCCTCCACGAGCTTCCAGGTTTCCTGAACTGGGAATAGTCATCCCCACCCTTGAATCTCTTGCTTACCTAAAATCACTGGTCCACTTCTATCTATTCCTTTCATTCTTTCACTGTCTCTCTGCCTCTCTTTCTCCTCCTCTACCCCTCACTCTAGGACATAGGGAAGGAGGTGCGTGGCGCAAACAAGCGTTACCTGAAGGTAGAGAAGCCACCCACCTGTAAGTTGGATGAGAGGAGGTACCGCCTCATGAGTGAACCAGAGGGAGACATCAGCCCTGCGGTGAGGGTTCATTCAACCATTACTGCATAACCAGTAAGCACTGACCTATGTAATGTACACTGAGTATACCAAACATTAAGAACACCTTCCTAATATTGAGTTGCACCCCCTTTTGACCTCAGAACAGCCTCAATTCGTCGAGGCATGGACTCTACAAGGTGTCGAAAATGTACCACAGGGATGCTGGCCTATGTTAACGCCAATACTTCCCACAGTTGTGTCAAGTTGGCTGGATGTCATTTGGGTGGTGGACCATTCTTGATACACACAAGGAAACTGTTGAGCGTGAAAAACCCAGCAGCGTTGCAGTTCTTGACACAAACCGATGCGCTTGGCACGTACTACCATACCCTGTTCAAAGGCACTTAAATATTTTGTCTTGTCCATTCACCCTCTGAATGGTACACAATCCATGTCTCAATTGTCTCTAGGCTTAAAAATCCTTCTTTAACCTGTCTCCTCCCATTCATTTACACTGATTTAAGTGGATTTAACAAGTGACATCAATAAGGGATCATAGCTTTCACCTGGTCAGTCTATGTCATAGAAAGAGCAGGTGTTCTTAATGTTTTGTATACTCAGTGTATGTACTATGTGCGTTTATTTATATGTCTGTGTTGTGTGTGTATGGTGTCCTGCAGGACTTGCCGTTCACGCTGGCCGTGACTAAATTGAAGGGATATTTTGAGGCGTTCTTTGAGCAGCCCCCTCCCTTCAAGCTCTCCCTCGTAGAGACGGAGTCCGACCAGACTGTGTGGTCAGCCACCATCAGAGAAGGTATGTACACACCTGCTGTGCATCTGTCTGTAATGGGTTGTGGGTTAAGGTGCAGGAGATTAATTTATCTTCCTCTCAGGTGACTGTGTGGACAATACAGTTGAAAAGCCAAAGAAACGGACAGATAGTAAGTTTGTCATTTTTGTTTGCCCCCTCTCAATATTGGCTAATATTGGATATTAAGTTATCTGTACACAAGCAACTTTCATCCAATCATAACAAAGTAGCTTTTGATTGACAGGGATTTTCTCCTCTTCTGTAGACAGGAAGAGAAGCACCAGCACATCAGAGGAAGAGCTGCCCAAAAAAAGACGTAAATGTGCAGATGAGTCAGGTGATGGTTTGAACACATCCATTGTGTCATTTGCTGTTATTACTGTGGTCTTATTCCTGTTGAGTTGCTGTTCAGTTGGCCTGAAAAAAACGCCTAAATGTCTGACATTCCTCTGTTGTCTCCAGACGGAGTACGGACAATGCAGGACCCAAACGTGTCATCCAAGCAGCTGATGCAGGTGGCTAAGCAGCTGGGGAAGGAGTGGAAGCAGGTGGCTATCGGTTGCCTGGACCTGTCCTCCAAAGACCTGGACGATATACAGGCCAGTGAGGAGGATGTCATCATGCAGAGGTACAGTAGATAGATATAGAATCTGCACCCTTAAAACTAAACTTTATATTACTTGCCAGCCATTATTTTGGGGGTTTCTCATTGAAGCATTTCTTTTTTAGATAATGTGACCCTAAATGTGACACTCAACTTTTTTTGCATTGGGTTTCAGGTTTAAGGCGCTGGAGCGCTGGAAGACTGCCAGGCCGAATGGTCAAGCCACTGTCACTCACCTCTTGATGAGTATACAGGAGCTGGATGACCTGCCCAACGAGGTCCACAAGACACTGAAAGGTTAGAGCCACACACACTCACATTCAATCACCTGTCCGCACACACATATTTGTACTAATTCTTGTCTCTTACTAACTTGCACCAATTTCTGTATGTCTCTTTTTGTCTGTTTTCTCCTCAGATATGATGGTCAATAAGGCTGCCAAATGAGATATCTTTGGCCTCCCCAGGTCCCTGCCTTTCCGCAGCCCTGTCGTCAATGAGCCAGAGAGACAATGGGAGAGAGACGTTTGAACTCTTGCCTTGAAGACAGAAATCCCTCTACTTATGCAGTATGGAGTAGTATGAACGTTTCCTCTAGACCAGGGAAGGGCAACTACAGTCCTCAGGGGCCGGAGTGGTGTCACATTATTTCCCCATCCCTAGCAAACACAGCTGATTAAACTAATTGCATTCTAAACTGAAGATCATAATTAGTTTATTATTGGAGTCAGATGTGTTAGCTGGGGCTGGGGCAAAAGTGTGACACCAATCCGGCCCCCGAGGACTGGAGTTGCCCGTCCTTGCTCTAGAGGCTGATCTAAGGTCAGCTTTGCATACCTTCTTCATAAATAGAAGATTTGAGGAGGGTACACTGATCCTAGATCAGAAGCATTATGTGTCTCCTGCCATTGCCTAGGCAGGGCCAGCACCCCAGCCTAGCACTGTCAACCCCTCCCAGCCCAAGAGAATTGGGATTCAATTGCCTTCAACTGAAATGTTTGATTCCTGCAGGCCTGGATGCTGGATCTAGAGAACTTTGTGCCCCGCCTAGTAGTGATGTTTAGTAGTGGGAAACCCTGGCTTTTCACCCCTCCTGTTCTCTCAGGATTACAACAGGAGTTCAACAAAGACACAGAAAGAGAATTGCACCAAAGTTTTAATCACAAATGGTTAATTAACCTGGAATAACGCAGGTTTTATCAAGCTGTAGAGGTACCCCAAACAGCCAGGAGCTGATGCTACAAGCTGCGGTGCAGAGAAGACCTCTTATGTCATAGATGAGTTCTGGGAAATAGGTACCAAATGTGTAGCCAGTAACAGACATGGTGCTGCAGTATGGAAACTGCTATCAAACAGGGCTGTTGTATATTTTGTATTTTGATATTTCTCAATCAAGGCATTGCCACTTATTCATGGATTTGGACCAACCACTCAAGGAGTGTAGCTGTACTTTTAATACGGAGTACATATTTTCTCTGTTTTTTAAAAAACTAAACTGTGATTGTTTTTATTTTTGTACAGTTTGTGTTTGTTCGTTTTTATGTGTTATGACCAAATTGAGCCATCAAACTGACAGTGGTGATAGCTAAGCTTCATCTCAGAGAAAATATTGGTAATATTTACTTTTGTTTAGCCTGAATCATGTACATTCTGTAGCCTGGAAATCACACTCAGTGCATTTGAACATGGTGGGATTGACTGAATTCCAGAAACAACTAATTTAGGATTTTTTGTTTATAAATAGGGCTACTAACTCATTTTAAACACCTTTCAATGGGGATGTCACTGTTGCCGATACTGGGACCCAAATATACCAGGGAGAGTAACAATGATTAACTGTTGAAATTATGAAAGGGAAAACCATGAGTTAAGTTGTATATTGGGTATTGGATGCCATTTGCAAGTGTGTCCATATGTTTACACAGAGTGATCTCTCAGAAAGTCCATCATTAATATTCCAGTCCTTACACGTGCATTTCTGTAATGTTACACCTCAGGTATGGGCCTTTGTAGGGCTCTGGGTATGGTGTCTAAGATTACAAATATTTGACTGAATAAAATAATTTTTTGGAAAGATTGATTTCATTTCTTTAATTGCAAATATTTTTCAGCTAGTAGAGTTAGGCCTACAGCTTGATGGAGGTCTTCATGACTGTTAGTAAACACAAATGTTTCATTAAGTCATAGCCTATGTACCCAGTTCGGTACCGTTACCTTTCTGCGTTGTGTTCTGGTGAGGTGTATGTGGAAGGGAAAGGAATGCTCTGAACACAATTCTGCCCGTTGTCTCTCTTTTAATGACTGCATGGAATGGATACAAATGCAAGGCAAACGTTAATACTGCCGTCTGGACTCTCAAACATAAGTATATTTGCCTCTCATCATGCTTTGAGCAAACTCACATCAACAAAAAAATGCACTGTACAAAATGTACATGTAAATATTTTCAAAAGACTCACATTTCATTTTTATAAACATTGTACACCAATAATTTGCTAATAAGTGTTAAATCATTATTTTAGTGTACTATTATACCCAAGGCATACTAATGAGGCGACAACGCAATTCCTGACATGACTGGCCTGGCAATAAAATGAACGACAGCTAACTAGGAACATTAAACATGAAATACAAAAACGTCACATTTCACAACATACCTGCATGGAATGGATACAAATGCAAGGCAACGTTAATGCTGCCATCTGGACTCTCATATTGTACATAAGTATATTTGCCTGACAAAAGACAAAAGACAGAGGAGAATGCCCGTTAGAAAACCGTCAGAAAACTCACGCTGTCTGTCCCTGAAAGAGACTCTCTCCCGCACCCAAAGCTAACAGTAGCTGGGCTAGCCTTGCAACGTTGCAATCAAAGTTGCACTCGAAAATTATCCCCATTCACGCTAATATATATTCATACCAACAGTGGTGCAACAACACAAAATCAATGACGATATCATTTTTGCTTTTTTTGTTGTTGTGCATTTATGAACATTTGCTAACATGTGCGTTCAAAAGACCGGAGCATACATAAACACATACCTCTCATCATCACGCTTTGAGCAAACTGAGGAGTAAAAGCAGTGTTGCCAACTCCTCAGTAAGGAAAGTAGCTATTGGCTGTCCTAAAAGTCGCTAAATGACGTAATCACCGAATTTGCATAATTGGCCATGTGCATGTAATTGTGATGGACGCTATAGGAGAGAGCAATAACTTTGTGGGAGAGACAAAAAGTGAGTAAAAAACACCCTAAATATGTTTAGAACTACAAATGAACTTTCTGTCGATTCTTGTTTTTTAAAATGTTTTACATTTCATGACTGTTTTACATTACATCAGCCAGTGGCAGCTTCCCGCATGCGCGATTCATTTGCAGTCTGGACGCGGAGGGGTGAACATCTCCTGCTCTGACTGCAGCTGGGAGGGACAGCGGCACGAGGACTGGGCCGCCTGTGAGTGCTTTGGGACGGGGTGGGGCCCAGGGGTGGGGCCCAGGGGTGGGGCCCACAGCAGCACCCGCTGCTCATTGAGAAGAGTAAGAAACGATACGTGCTTTCACGTCAGAGTTGCCAAAAGTCTCCAATAACGCCAGAAAAAGCCGCTAGATTTGTCGCTAGTCGCTTTTTTGAAAATGTGTCGCTAGAGGGGTCTGAATACTCGCTAAATATAGCGACAAAGTCGCTAAATTGGCAACACTGAAAAGCATGGCTCCCGTTGATGACATCAACACAATTTAGAAAATAAATACAATAAAATAGTTTTCTTGAAAGTAGTGTAATACATCTAAAAAATAACCTTAAAATAATAAATGAAAATAAATATGAGGGATTTTCAGTGAAATACATAAAGTATATTTTACACCTGTTACATTCACCTCTCCTAAAATTCACCAAAATCCTGAGTGCATATCAAACAGGATATAAAGCACAAGGGACAACAAACTCTACTGAGTCACTGGCACAAGTGAACACCAAAATCTCATCTTCGGTCTCTGCTATACAAGCCATCTGCTGGGCAGATTCAGAGGAATCTAAGGTTGATCAGGCCCGAGAACCTCCTAGACTAATACGATGCCAAGTATACCATACAACACTCGTCTCCACATCACATTATCCCTTGACACCATTCTACACATCACTTAGATGTCTCTACATATCAATGAATATTCCTAAAAACAACAGAAGAAATAAAGAAAACCCTTTAAGTTAGAAGAGACTGGGACTTCTTTCCTAGTTTGGTGGCTAAGCCCTTAATAGTGAATGGTCTCTGAGCCATTGTCTCAATAAGACGATATTGCGAATCACCTGAACCCGGTCTTTGTAAATCTTGGTCACTAGCTAAATCAGCTGGTGCAACTGAGTCAGGAATGCCTGAAAGTTCTGTGTCAGGGACTACAGCTAGACTGTCATAGTCAGGAATGCTAATGTCAGTCTCATTATTGAGAGGTAGCTGGGCTTGACGGATTGACCCTACAGCTGTACGCTGACTTTTCATCTCTGACTGACTCCTGTTCCTCCGAAGATTCCTGACTTGCAGAGCCATCTACTCCACAGAGTATCCATGAACTGGTCATATCTCAGAGCTTTCCTCTTCATCGGAGTCTGAAAGGTCCATTGACTGATCCTCACACTCTGGATCTAGACCTCCATCTGATTGAGATTCACAAGAATCACCCTCAGGCGTTTCTACCGGCACAAAGCTGATGTCTAGAAGAAGGTTCCGATGTACAGTGGCTTGCGGAAGTATTCACCCCCCTTGGCATTTTTCCTATTTTGTTGCCTTACAACCTGGAATTATAATTGATTTTTTGGGGGTTTGTATCATTTGATTTATACAACATGCCTACCTCTTTGAAGATGCAAAATATTTTTAATTGTGAAACCCCCCCCCCCAAAGTCAATACTTTGTAGAGCCACCTTTTGCAGCAATTACAGCTGCAAGTCTCTTGGGGTATGTCTCTATAAGCTTGGCACATCTAGCCACTGGGATTTTGGCCCATTCTTCAAGGCAAAACTTCTCCAGATCCTTCAAGTTGGATGGGTTCCGCTGGTGTACAGCAATCTTGAAGTCATACCACAGATTCTCAATTGGATTGTGGTCTGGGCTTTGACTAGGCCATTCCAAGACATTGAAATGTTTCCCCTTAAACCACTTGAGTGTTGCTTTAGCAGTATGCTTAGGGTCATTGTCCTGCTGGAAGGTGAACCTCCGTCCCAGTCTCAAATCTCTGGAAGACTGAAACAGGTTTCCCTCAAGTATTTCCCTATTTTTAGCGCCATCCATCATTTCTTCAATTCTGACCAGTTTCCCAGTCCCTGCCGATGAAAAACATCCCCACAGCATGATGCTGCCACCACCATGCATCACTGTGGGAATGGTATTCTCGGGGTGATGAGAGGTGTTGGGTTTGCGCCAGACATAAAGTTTTCCTTGATGGCCAAAAAGCTCAATTTTAGTCTCACCTGACCAGAGTACCTTCTTCAATATGTTTGGGGAGTCTCCCACATGCCTTTTGACGAACACCAAACGTGTTTGCTTATTTCTTTCTTTAAGCAATGGCTTTTTTCTGGCCACTCTTCAGTAAAGCCCAGCTCTGTGGAGTGTATGGCTTAAAGTGGTCC